ATTTTCCAGTGTTCTAAAGATGTGGCCATCAGCCATCAACAGTCAGAATTGGCGGTTGGTGTATAATCTGTCAATGTCTCCTGACTAAGGGGTCACTGAGGGGAGCCCGGTTGACAAGAGGGACATGGCCAGATCTCAGGCCAACTCTGAGAGGAAGAAGTGTTTCTGCCCTGGAGGAGCCGGTGGCCAAACCCTGAGCCAGACGTAGACATAGAACTGAGAGCACAGAAGGGACTCTCAATCTAATAGAGTATGGGTGGCTTCTCCCAAGACTCTGAGTTTAGTGACCAGCTGATCAGTGACAAGGGCATCAACAATTAGGCCCCTCAGCTTTGCTCGCTTCTAGACCAGACCAGACATAATCTGGTGTTTAGCCCAGTGCTCAAGGCCACAAGTGTTTTGGGAACGGTTACTCAAAGGCGGCCTTGGGGGACTGGTCTTATCCCAGAGCCAGCAGGGAGTAGAATGTAGCTGAGGGAGGGGGCAGTGGACATGTGTGTCCACCCCAGGGGACGGGTGACTTTTTTTATTCAATCTATACTCACCCTTGCTGTGGGGTTCCTGTCCCCACAGAACTGTAGTTCTTGGAAGACCAGGTGTGGAAGCTGCTGCCAGGCTGACTGAGGAAGGCCCTGTGCCAGACATGTATGAAGGAGCCTGGTGAAAGTGCCAAAGTGGAGGGCCCTGCAAGGGAAGAAATTGGCTTCTGGAAGGATAGTGGTGACCCACAAACATGCCTACTGGCAGTTTCTCCCAGATGAACTTATCAGCCCTTTCATTCCGCCAGAGATCCCAGACAATCTGCCTTCTGTTAAATCCAGACAAAAGGACCCCACCCTTGCCCTGACTTGGCGGGCCCTGCTTGCCAGCCCACTGCCCCAGGCAGACCTTCAGGCCTGGCATTTGTGTCAGGAGCCTCCACCTCCAGCCAGCGCTGCCTCTTGCCCCTCTCCATTGGGTCCTGGGGGAGGATCAGCAGCAGGAGCCTTTCTCTCTCTGGAAGAATCTGAGGCTGGGCACTGGCCCTTGGCCCTTGGCCCTTTATGTCAGAATAAAAAGCCCTGGAATCCTAAGACCACAGAAAACTTTGGTCCATGTAAGTATCTGCTAGATTTTGTCTGAGATAGAACCAAAGCCTGAGCTTAAATCATATCAGCCTCAAGTAAACACTGGGACATTTGTCTTGGGCCTTGCACAGGACTTGGGCCCTTGAGAATGACCGCCTACCTGGAAGCGAGGCAGGCCGCCTCCCCATTCCTTCTTGCCCAAACAGAAAATGAGCCTCTACTATGTGCAGGCTATTAGGTGATGGTTGCAATGTGAGGGCAAGCAGTTTGGTCTGCGGCCTTAAAGGCTCATACTCCAGTCGGGGAGACAAACCTTAATCTGGTAATTTTCCTGAAGCCTCTGGCTGGGGGGTCTAAGTGGAGGAAGCACTGGCAGCTGAAAGGCCAGGCAAGTTGAGAGCTGAACATCAGGACTGACGAGCCCCATTCTTGGCCTCTCGATCAGTCCTCCCCAGGCCTATACTACGTGGGCCCTTGGGCAGCTGCTCTAAGGCGTTCTCTGGGCCTCACTCTTGGCTGTGCCCTCCAACTGGCTGTGAGCACCAAACCTGATCTAGGGTAGCCTAGGCCCTGCTGGGGTTCCAGAATAGCCTCCAAGAGTGAGTTACTGGAAATGTGCTGAGCCCTTAGGGTAGGAAGTGCAGTTCCCCAGGAAGGGAAATCCTTGGCTCTCGGGACTACACAGAGTAACAAGGCCTTAACTTTCCGTCTGTACCCAACCTAGGGGCCGGCCCCTACAGACAGCTGTCCACCTCCCTCTTTACTTTGCTATGTGTTCTATGGGGGCTGGTTGGGCTCCACTGGGGGCTGGTTAAGCCCTAAGTAGCTGGTCCAACTCTGGCCAGCCAGGCCTCCTGAATTCTAAGGCCCGAAGGAACAGGGGGTTGGAGGAACCCCAATTCCAGACTAAACTTGAAGAAAGCCAGCAATGAGGCCCAAAGCTCAGAGCTCTTCTGGCCTGGAGAGATCTGCCAAGGGGAAGGGGAGAGTACCAGGGACAGCATGGAGCCATAGTACCTCCCCAACTGAGCCCCAAACCCGGAGTGGAAGGGACTGGAAAAGATATGGCTGTAAGGGATTCAGGCAAACTCTAGTTGTTACTCCTTCCTCCCAGGACAAGGAAGGGCCTATCTCACCTTTTGGCACCAGCTATGGAGGTAGGGACCCTCCCCTGGCCAGAGTTCTGGGGGTGCTTGGGCATGGGGTGATGGGATCCTGGATGCCAGAATGTGGTCTGGTGCCTCATCTAGCAGGACCAGTGCCAAAAAGAAAGAAGGGGATTTACTCTGGCATCCATGGATGATCAGCTTCTGTGTAGATGGTAGAAGGTGGGTTGCTCATGAGGCCTGTACTCACTACTGTTTTTTGTTTTGGAAAAACATATAGACAGACACTAAAATCCCCAGCAGAATCTAGGGCTGTAAAGCTGTACCTAGTGTGTGTTTCGAGGCCAGGGGTGGGAGGAAACTCTGTGAGCTGAAGGAGTGAATGAAAGAATATATTTTGTTTATAAACCCAAACAACTTTCTGCATTCTTAGCCTTTTACGAGTGGCAGAATTTTAGAGCTGGATTTGAGAGGCCATTAACACCTTAACATCTCAGTTTTAACATTTCAGGGATGATTTGGAGCCTTTTTCCTGGTTTTTAGTTCCTTTTTCCTGATTTTTAGTTCCTTTTCTAGTCTCCATGAATAAGGTTTGGAGCCTATACATTTAAGTACAAAGAACTGCAAACAAGTATGTGTATTTGGGAGATAGAGGCATTCCTTTTCTCTCGCTCTGAAATTTGCTTTCTCCCAGATGCTTCTAACCTGGGGGAGAAAGCAGGGGGAGGACCAAGAGCTGTCTGGATTCCAGGAGAAACCCCAGGCGGGCAGCAGCGAGTTCTGCGTTCACAGTGCTAGCTGACAAGAGCGCGGGCCTGGAATTCCAGCCTGGCCACAGGCCCAGGAGGGAATGGGCATATCCTGCACAGGGTTTGTGGAACCAAAGAGAGCAGACCCACTATAGGTTCCATCCCAGACCTATCCAGTAATGTTCGGGGCCAATAACTGTCAGGTCCAGGTCCTGGGCCTCTGGAGTAGAGAGTTGTAGGTAAGCCCTGGAGAGCGGGAGAGCACCTTCAGCACCCTCCCCTTGAAAGGAGACCTCAGCAGTCACCCCCCCCACCACTCTGCCCCTTACTCCCCCACCTCCTGAAAGAATGCAGGACACAAGGAGTGAGTGACCAGCACATTAGCGGTCAGAGCTATTTCTGGCACCAGAGGAGAGATCAGATTCCGGCGTCCAGAGCAGGGGGAGGGGATGAGGGTCACGCCTGAGGCACTTCCCAGACGCCCAAGCCTGCTGGGGCTAGGCCCTTGGAGAGGGGCCGGCTTCCTGTCCTACCTTGCCTCACCTTAGTTTCCCCATCCATGTAATGCTGGGTCAACATGCCCATCATTCCTGGCAATTTGGAGGACGCTTCCTGATTATTTTCAGGGCTTAGAAATACCTCTTGATTTGCGTTCGAGAATTCAGTCAATGAGAGGGCAGTTGTAGCCGGGCCAGTTCCCCAAATTCACCATCCCAGGTTGGTTGGACATGTCTCAGACAGACGCCCAAAGCCCTGGGATTGGGCGGGGCGCCCCTCCCCCACTCCACGTCTGGCTCGCTCACGGCGACCCGGCCGGGCCGGGGCGTGTCCCGGGGACGGACCTGGCTGGCAGAGGGGCGGGGATCCTAACATGGGGCGTGTCTTTTCAGGCGGGGGCGTGGCGGGCCAATGAGCAGAGCGGCGCGGATGGGGGCGGGGC